GAGCCGGCGCCGCGCCCGCCGCGCGCGTCCCCGAAGGGCGGGGCCGGGGTGCGCGCGGGCGCCCGCCTTAAAGGGGAGTGTCCCTGTTAAAGGGGTGGGAGGGGTCCGCGCCTCGGCCAAGCTCGCGGATCCCAGCCGAGCCTGGCGCGGAGGAGGCCGGAGCCGGACGTGCAGACTCCGCCCTCCCCTCGCCCCACGCTGCGCAGAATTATCTTATCGTCGCGGACCTCCCGCCTGGGTCGAATACCGTAGGCGTCCGGTGGCGTTTCGGTTCCTGCATTCCCCGCCCGGCCTTACCCCCTGCTATCCTCTGGGCTCACAGCAACCTGTGCGATCAAATCAAGGCATGCTCCTTTGAAAACGTACAAGGCTGTCTGCTGCCGGCAGTCCCGGCGAGGATGCCGTGGGAGGCACTCTCATTCTGCTGCGAGGCAGAAGAACCCTCTGATAAACAATTTAGTATTATGTATCAATGCCTTACAATATTTGTACCTTTTTTTATCCCATGTCTTCAAAAGATAATGAGGATAGGATGAATATTTACACAAAATGTTCATTTCCATGTTTACCGTTGTAAAAAAAAAAGGAAGCTAAATAGGCAGTAAAAAAAGACTAATATGGTTGGGCCATAATTTATTAGTAATTAAAAATCATGTTTACAAAAACTAATGACATGAGAAAATGTTCATGAGATGTGACATGAAAAATCAAAGTACAAAAGACTATATACACTGTTCAAATTTTGTTGCTAATATATATTTGCATGGAAAAAGACTGGAACAATATTACCCAATAGTATCAGTAGTATTGCCAGGATTTTTTTTTTTTTTTTTTTTACTTTTTCTTTAAGCATTTCAGTAATATTCTTTGAATAAATCTTATTTTGGGGTCGGCAGGTAGCGTGGTGGTCAAGGTGTTGGACTCCCACATGGCTAACCTCCGTTTGAGTCCCAGATCTGGCGGCTTGCTTTCTTGTTTTTCCTCTCTCTCTAGTCAAATTAAGGAATAATAATAACAAATGGAATTAAATAAATAGATAGTTCTTTAAAGATAAATATTGCTTTCAGATTTAGAAAAGGGTGTTTATAAAAGGTAAACCAGTTTACCTTTATCTTGAGGTCATGAAAAGCAGAGAGTCTTTGGAACCTCAGAGTTATCTTTCTCACTAAATGTGAAAACTTGGACAAGGCTTTATTTTTTTAAGGAATTATTTTTATTTAACTTTATTTATTTTAATTTGACCAGAGAGGGACAGAGTAAGAGAGAGAGAAGGAGGCAAAGTGAGAAACCGAGCCGCCAGGTCCAGGACTCGAACGAACTGCATCGGCCATGTGGGAGTCCAGTGCCCTTAGCCACCATGCCACCTGCCAGCCCTTGGACAAGGTTTTAACCTTAGAGCAGTTTCATCATCTGACATCTAGGGGTGGCGAGGATGGCCAAGAGGTGGTGGAATCCTCATTTTGAGTTATCAGCAACCTGGAGAACTCCTGTTCTCATATCCAGAAAAAAAAAAAAAAAAAAAACCCACAAGGCTGCAGAAATGCACTTCACACACACAGACACACACACGCACACGCACACGCACTCACAGGCAAAGTCAGGCAGGGCACCGTCTACAAGTTGGTCAGCATAGCTAGATGAGTAAACACCTTATTTTTGTTCTGCTCTCCCTCATCCCTCCCAAATAGGGATACGACCGCCCCCAGTCCATCTCTCCAGACTCCCAAACTATACTCTGTCCACTCGGGGCTCCCAGCTGTGGTGGGCACAGCATGAGCTTACTGTTTTAGTGTCCTAAGGCTGCAGTTCCAAAGAACCATCAACTGGGTAGCTTAAAATAACACCGATTTATTCTCTCACTCAAGGTTCTGGAGGCTAGAAATCTGAAACCTTGGCGTTGGCAGGGCCATCCTCTCTCCGGAGGCTCTAGGGGAGAAGCGCTCCTTGCCTCTTGCAGCTTTTGGTGATTCTCAGAATCTTTGGTGTGCTTTGGCTTGTGGAAGCAAAATTCCAGTCTGTCCCTGTCTTGACATGGTCGTTTTCCATCTGTGTCTGTGTATCCAAATTCCTCTCTTCTTATGAGGATACCAGTCACTGAAGTAGGGCCCACCCTTATCCCCCATGAGTTAAAAAATCCTTAACTTGATTACCTAGGCAAAGATCCTGTTTTCAAGTAAAGTCACGTTCACAGGCTCCAAGTGGACACAAATTTTGAGGGGGACACTATTCAACCCCATAGTCACCAACCCCTGCAGTTGGGGGGAAAAAAAACTAACTCCCACAGTGCATACCTCCGA